GTGTACAGTTTAGCTAAAGCTCTGGAATAAATTATATTTTTTATAATAGCCATCAAGAACATACTTAAAATTACAGAAAATTGCATCTTTGTGAGAAAATTGACTATTTAAAAAAGTGAATTTTGTGACAAAAACAAAGAGTCAATGAAGATGATGAGGGAGACATGGGTCTCACCTGCTCTTCCTCACCCTAGCATGTGACTCACATTACTGTGCAATTAATACAATTAACTCATCAGGGCACTGGGGTGTGGGTAAGTGTTACAGTGCTTGTCCATCATGTCAAAGGCCCTGAGGTTCATGGGAGAGGGTAAGAAGGGGGGATGAGGAAGGAAGAAGGGGATCACTGGGCAAGAGACGAAGGGATCAGAGGGGGAGGGAGGAGAGGGGAGATTTTTCAGTGTATAGACCTATTTTTCTGTTTCCCAATGAACACTGGCTTTGTGCTGCCAGTATAACTGTGTGTTTTTTAGGAGAAATGCTTGGGACCAGGGTGTTTCAGATTTCAGAGGGTTTTGTTTGTTTGCTTGTTGTTTTGTTATTGTTGTTGAAATATTTTCATATACTTTACCTGTAATTCAACCTGGAATTCACCTGTAACTCTCCAATCTGAAAAAATTAAAATCTGCACTTAATCTTAGCCCAGCTGAGAAATATTGAAAATCCCAAATCCAAATCTTTATACCATCATTTCAACACTTAAAACATTTTGGAGTTTTTATTATTTTTTAAAATTTATGTGTATGGGTGTTTTGCCTCCATGTATGTCTGTATGCCACTTGCATGCCTGGTGCCCACAGAGGCCAGAAGAGGGAATTGGAGCCCCTGGAACTGAAGTTACAGACAGTTGTGAGCCACCATGTGGATGCTGGGAATTGAACTCGGTCCTCTAGAAGAGCAGCCAGTGCTCTTAGCCACTGAGCGATTTTTCTAGCTTAGTATCCTCATTGGTCAAACACAAAACATAGTAGTTCTAACAAAATGTTACAAGAATTTATTAGGATAACCAACACAAAGTCCAACACAGTGCCTAGCGGACAGAAAATGTTTGTTGAACAAATGAATGCATGCAATTTCACCCCAGATTTAATAACTGTCTTATTTGCTTTTTACACCTTTGTTTTAAAAGCTGTGCGTGGGTGTGCACATACATACCACAAGCCCTAGAGGAGAAGGACAAGTATTAACGACAGCTGCATTCTATGAGCTGGCAAGCCAGCCATCCTGATGAACATGACAAGTTTCCAGTATGTGAGAGACCTCGTCTCAAAGGAAGATTTCTGACATCTTCCTCTGCTCTCTGTATGCACTCACAGGTTTTTTTTTCTTTACTAATTAAGTGAAGAGAGTTTTGTATTTTTCTACTTTCTTATTTCACTCTTCTAGATTCATCTAATTAACTTTTTTTTCTTTATCCAATGAGTCTAGAAAGTCCTGTGAGAAAATCTGCCATGAGCTGTTCCAGCTCTGGTCCACTGCACTGGTAGACACGACTCAAGAGCTGGGCGGCAGGCAAAAGGCCGAGGATCTCTAGAGGTCTGTACAGACCCCAGTGAAGAGAGTCACCATGAAAACCAACCCTGCACAAAGCCAGGCTACCTGGCCAAAGGGGCATTGTTGGAGAATTAGAAAGCCAAATGCAATGGTTACATAAGTTTCTGAGCTGGAGGAAACATTTGAGAGGGAGGTACCCAGACCCTGAGGCATGTGTGATAAACCTTCTTCGAATTGATGTCAGGGGCTGAGAAACCTTGAGCAAATGACTGGTTTCACAGGCAGCCAGCGGCAGATAGTAAGGAGAACAAAATGGAACAAAATGAATGCAGAAGCGTGAGAAGACATTGCCTCCAATTCTCTGTTGAACTGATTTCATGTTTGTATATGGAGACTCATCAGAAACAACCATACATACATCCCAGAGTCTGGCTTCCATTTGCACCCATTCTTAACAGCAGAGGGAGTGGTGCAGAGTGTGGAACACAAGCACCAGGGGCAGGGCCAGAGGTGCATGTGCTGTACCCCAACCCCCCACCGCAGCCTCCATTTTCTTATCTGTAAGAAGCCACCAAGAGCAGGGCAGGCTGTCAATAGAAGCATAAGACCCGCAGGTGTGGATCGTGCCTAACATTTTAAGTTAGAAATAACAAAGAAGAAGCTACAAGTAAATTTAACAATGCATTTTATTTAGCCCAATTATCCGAATTTCTATCATTTCAACATTAACCAATATAAAATTATATCCTTCCTTCCTCTCTCTCTCTTTCTTTCTCTCTTTCTTTCTTTCATGCTAAGACTCTGAAACATGCTGTTTGCTTTACACACACACTCTTGTCCCTCCAGACAAGCTGCACTGACGATGCAGTCACAGGGGGCTGCAGACTACCATCCTGAGCAGACTTAGAAACAGTGAGGCTTCCTGTGGGCTCACTAACTCCACACAGCTCTTTCTGTCAGACAGACCCTGTGAAACTTAGGAAAGCTATTCTTAAAGTCAGTGCATTAGAGAAATTAAAAATGTTGGTATAGTTTATGGAATAATCAAATATATATAAGAATTCAAAATATCTATAGTGGCTAGATCAATTATTTGTCCAAAATAAGAGCAACCAGGAATAATTATGATAGGTCACTAGTATTCATTTATTTTACATACTTTTAAAAAAAGATTATTTATTTATTTATTTATTTATTTATTTATTTATTTATTTATTTAATGTGAGTACATTGCTGTCTTTAGACACACCAGAAGAGGGCATCAGATCCTATTACAGATGGTTGTGAGCCACCATGTGGTTGCTGGGAATTGAACTCAGGACCTCTAGAAGACCAGTCAGTGCTCTTAACCACTGAGCCATCTCTCCAGCCTTCTACATTCATTTTTAAAGATTTATTTTTATTTTACTTACATATTATATAATACACACACGTGTGTGTGTGTGTTTGTGTGTGTTTGTGTGTGTTTGTGTGTGTGTGTGTGTACCATTATTGCCTGGTGCTTATGGAAGCCAGAAGAGGATGTTGGGTCTCTTGAAACTGCAGTTCTAGACAGCTGTGAGCTACAATGTGGGTGCTGGGAATCGAACCTTGGGCTTCTGGAAGAGAAGCCAGTGTTCTTAACTGCAGAGCCATCTCTCCAGCCTCTGTTTTACATTAATTTTTGTGGCTTCTTTATTAGCATTTGAATGTTAATTTGACAAAGGACATAGCTTTTTTGTGTATGGCAGATATCTACCTTAGTGTCACTCTTTCTGAGGTACTGTCTGCCTGTCTTTTGAGACAGCCTCTCTGGTGTGGAGCTCACCAGCTAGGCCTGCTGTTCCATAAGCCTCAAGGGCCCTTCTGTCTCTGCGGCCTAGGATTATGAGCACAAACACCACTCCACCCAGTTTTTTCACATGAGTTCTGGGGAATTGAACATAGGTGACAATGTTTGCACAATAAGCTCTTTACTGAGTTAGCTCTGTAGTTCAAATATAATATCCTTTAAAAATTCTGACATAACTGTAAACATACAGCAAAGAAACAGCAGCAAATCATTTTTTTTTAAATTATTGAAAAACCTTTCTTTTCATGAAAGCTACCATTGGTAAGTCATGTTATAGTTTTACTAGGTCTAATTTTTTTCTCATAAAACTTTAAGGAATGGACACTTATCATGATAACCTAATTATGTACAATTAAATAAACATCATATTTAATATATTAAATGTTACATTTAATTTTAAACTAGTCATTGGGATTTCCTTCGCATATTATTTGTATTACATTTTTAAAATCCTGAATAATATACAGTAGGTAAGTTCTGTGTGTGTTGGAAGGTATGTGGTGTATCTATGTGTGGATGTGTCCAAGTATGCGCACCAATGCAAGAATGAGGCTAGGTATAGTGCGGATGTGTGTGTGTGTGTGTGTGTGTGTGTGTGTGTGTGTGTGTATCAGAGGACAACTTGTATGAGCTGGAACTCTCCTTCCACCTTGTATGGATTCCACGGATCCAACTTAAGCTGTCAGACTTGGGAGCACAGGCCTTGGCCTGCTGAGTCATTTTGCCGACTACCTTAGTTTTTGAGACAGGGTCTCTCACTGAACCTGGATCTCCTAGTATTAACTAACTGGAAGACCAGCAAGCACTGCCACTTCTGGCTTCTAGTGTGTGTGTGTGTGTGTGTGTGTGTGTGTGTGTGCTGGAATGTTGAACTCAGGTCTTTACTTTGTAAGCACATTACCTACTGAGTCATCTCCCTAGTACCAGCTTCCTGTATGTTAAATTCAAAGAGTAGAAACCATTACTCGTTTGCAGTCTCTTTGAAAGTCACCCCAAAGCTTAAGAGAACGCACATCCTTACCTTCAAGCAGTGTACTCCTGTGATGAAGGAAGGAGCCCTGAAGCTGACAGCTTCATTTGTCTTTCTCTGGTGCAGCACAGGTGTCAGGTAGGACACACGAGTGAATCGAGGGCAGAATACTATACAGGCCACTGCTACTTCATCTCAAGTCCATCAAGGACCAGTTAGTGACCTACTATAATCTCATCATTACTAACAGTTAAGAGAATCAAAACGCCCAAAATTATTTGGACTCTGGCTTTTCAACAACTACATGTTCAAAAAGCCCTTCAAAAATATAGACCCTCTCCCTCAATCTCTCTTCACTGTGCTTGGTCAGAGGTGATACACAAAGGAAAACTTCCTCTGACCAAATCATTAGTTCTATGTTCAGAATACATCTGTGTCCCTCTCCTGTCTTCTGACCAAGCACCCTCCTCCCCCATTGCTGCTTAGGATTAAAATCAATGACTGGTTCATTCTACAGGCAAAAGAGCTGCTCAAGACACGACTTAAGGAGATTCTCGCGTTAACTTTTCTAAGAAAAAAGCCACTTCCAAAGCTAACAAATGCTAATCCCTCAGTCCCTGATACTAAATGCAGAACACAAGAGGACATTGGACCAACATTTGACCTGATGTCAGAAACAGGAGTAGCATTGTATTAGAGACTCACGTGTGCCATTTCTGTAGAGTAGGAAAGGGTCCTGGAGCTGGAAGTCCAGGTCTTTAGTAATGGGTTCTGTTCTGTTTTCCATGCTGAGCCTATTCATAATAGTGAATCCATGCTTTGGAGAGGCAGATCTGGAAATCATGGAGCAGGGGAAAGACAAATTGCTAAGCATGGCATACCTGCAGTGTAGCCACATTCTAGCGTGTCTGTTAACTTTGCTATGTGCATTCAGTCTCCCACAGCGGTTTGTATACATACAAAGCAGCATTTCTTTACTCCTGGGATCTTGTACCAACATGTATGTACCACAGACTGTCCTGCAGGTCATTGTTTTGAACCTATGAGAACCTGCATATATTTTGTGTGTAATGGACATCCCTACCTATATTGTACATTCCTTTAAGACAAAGATGGTAACTGCTTTAAGACAAACCTTACTGGCAGATAACTTCAAAGGATTTCAGAGTTCAACAAGTGTACAACATTACAAAAAGATAATTTTCATCGAAAGTGTAAATGTTAGTTTGAAATTGAGAACTTTAGGAAAATGAGGCAACTCTGTCAATGAACCTGTGAGGCAAGGTGCAAAGGAAGTTCACGTGACAGCTAAAGGCCAGATGCCTTGCTCTCTTCAATACAGAGCAAATGGCTGTCTGGACAAGCTACTAGAAAACTTTTCTCAGTAAAAGCATGACCTTTAGTGAATTTGATTTTTCATTCCATTCAATAAATCTTGAGTATCCCCCTCTGTCAGGCACAGAGGGCCCCTGTTATCTATCATGTGTACCTTTTCTTGTGCTGGGCTGACAGCCATATCATAATTCAACCACAAACCTTCTGGTGACAAGTAGGCACACATTCACATTTGACAGAAGTGAGCAGCGTTCATTCATTCAAGTTAACTAGGCTGCTGGGCTGATCACTAACAATCAGGAAGAGAATTAGTTTTAATTCACTTTTAACCCGTTTAAACTGATAAAGTACAACACTGCTACCTTGCAACTTTCGAGATTTTAGTTTTAAACCTTAACCTTTTGATTGATGGAAGGTAATCTTTGATGAGCTTATTCTACAAAAAAAAAAAAAAAAAAAAAACCACTGGTAGCCATAGCCTCAAATCCAAAACCAGTCATTTCTATTTAAACTTAAGAGGAAGAGATGAGTATGTACTCCAAAGACTGACAGAGGGCCCTGAACATTAATTTTCTGAAATGCAGAAATTCTGCAGCTTGTCTTCATGAACTGTATCTCAGAGACAAAGACATGGGAAGGCAGAAGGAGTGGTCCTTGGGGTGGGTGAGATATCTTCAAGTATTTCAACAGGAAAGAGTCTCCTGGCATAAATGGCAAGGTATTACACTGCAGGCCAGAGACAAAGATGCCAGGCACACGACTGAAGGCGAAGTAAAAGTGTAAAGCCACAGACAGCTTCAGTGGCTTAACTCCAAGTGCTGTCATTCCACCCCAGGAAAAGGCCTCGCCAGAGCAGGCACATGGGTGCATTTGGGAAGGGCAGGCACACATGGGAGAAGGGGTGGAAGCAGTAGGCATCATCTCAAAGAGAAAGTTGGTAACAGGATTAAGAACCAGGGGAGGGCTGTTTTCTCAGTTTTATGGTGTAACTTGTTGTTTCATTAGCAATGTGGAGTATGTTAGGAAGTCTTTGATTTGAGTGATGGATTGTAGTTCACTTGGCAGCCCTGGCTCCATCTCCAGTATTACATAAAATTGGAGCATTGCTGTAATGCCAGCACTTGGATCAGAAGAAGTTCAAAGTGATCTCAAACATGGTTAGTCTGAGGCTAACCTGGTCTGCATAAGATGCTATTTCAAAATAAAATACTTGAAAATACAAAGCTGTATTTAGTTTGGGTACAAAAAAAAGAAAATAATTGTATAACTCGGCAGAAAAGACCTTAAAATCATCATTAATATATATTAATGCATAATTCTCCTCAAAATATTCCTTCTTAGAAATGAAAGAGAATACACATTGTATGCTCTAGTTTTTCTCTATACATTTTACATTCTTAACAGTATTCATGCCAAACAAATCCATGTGGTGGTTTTAGAGTGTTCTGAATATAACACAGACTAAAATGCTAGTAATTCTTGGGTATTCACAACCTTAAACAACCGACTTACCTCTTGTCCTGCCTGCAGCCTGGCTAGCAACTCCTTCCTGTCCACTTTCCCCCATTGCTCCCACACTGTGCCCCAGTTGGTCACCCCAGTTCTGCTTTTTATACCCCTATCGGCCCTACAATCATACATCAGCTCATACCCTTTCTTCTATGATAGTCCTTTTAGACAATGCCAAATTCTCCAACAATCACCCTGTGCCAAGTGGCTGGATTCCTCAATCTGAATTCCTGAGACTACTGAGAAAAGTGTTTCTTCAAACCACTGAGGACTAAAGGCCGAGGGGTGTAGACGAGGGTAAACTTGAGGCCCTCACATCCTCAGCTCTGCAAAATACACAAAGACATCAAGTAGGAACCTAGCCTCTCCTCCCGCCGCTGTTTGAATTCTACCAACAATTTTGTCATTCAGTTCAAACGCTGGCATTTACCTTGAGGTTCCATTTCTCAATGTCATTGTACCCTCTGTCCACGCAGCTTTCATTTCAGCTTCAGTTACTCTGGTCCCAACTCTGGCAGCCCCTATCTACTTCAAGGCAATCATCCTCTTAACACCCGAACTCCAGTTTCTTTTAGAATGAGTGCCTCCTTGTGATGCTAACACACTGACTCTCCACACATTTTCTCACAGCTTATCAAGCACTCTTGTGTCCATAAGCCTTCAGTTGCTCCGTACTGCTAAAAAAAATAAGCCTCAGAATCCTTACTCTGCCAGTCTGTCTAATAGCATCACTTATGCTAATACAAACCCTCTACACCAGAGTAAATCCTTTACTGTCCCTTTATACAGGAGGCTCTGTGACTCTACTTTTGCCTTTCTTCCTGTTGAGACTTTCTGCCCTGAAGCCCAACCTAGGACTGGTCATTGTACAATGCCTTCAACAGTCACAGTAGCCCAGTGAGGTTTATATAGAAACTAGTCCTTGGGACGGCATATCCTGTATTGTATTTATCTTAAACTTGAGTGTGGGTAAATATACTTACATCAATCAGAGTTTACGCTAGTTTTGTATTTCATCTATGTGCTCCCACTAGGTGACAGAATTCAGGGAAGATATTTATGAAGAAATTTGCATGAATAAAATGAAGTCATTAAGACCATATATATACTGTGTGTTTGCGTGAATGTGTGATGTTAATGATCTCTGATAAAAAGAAATGACTAAAAGCATGAACTTATTAATTAAATTAATCCTGAAACATCATTAACTAAACAATGTAAGACTGAAAGATAGACTCAACCCTGGGGTGTGCTGTTTTAAGCAGCTAAGGGTGAGGGAAGGTGAGCCACAAGCCCTTTCCAACTGCTGACTAATTTAGCTTCTCTCACAGTAGAAGCTTATCTCTTGGCAGTGCATGGTGTTCAAGAGCTGTGTGCAATTCACTGGCATCAAACGATTGTTCTGCTAAACCAAATATTAAGGTTTAAGTTGGAATTATAGCCTGAAATTAGTGTCATCAGGATGTAGCAGGTGACATTATGTGTTATTTTATTCCTCTTGCCGATTAGTAATTTCAGATAGATTTGGTTGTTGTTCTTTGAAATAAAACTGCCCTTCAAGAAATGACAAAATTACATTAAAATATTTCAAGTCATTTTTCTAAAAATAGAATATGCTTACCTTGTATAAACAAATAAGGTTCCTTCCACTCCAGTCTTCTCCTAGAAACAAAGCAAACACATCCCATCTGTATGTCTCTTCATTCTAAGGTGTGAACTTACGGAACACCAGAGAAACACATCCACTCTCTAGTAGGCAAAGTGGCACTGTAGAACAGAGGGGCCACCAAAGGGAAAGGTGTGGGCTTTGACATGACCAGGGCCTGCTGAGTGGGCACTACTTGGTCACTATTCTCTTTTCTAGACACGGTGTAATAGCCCAGCTGGCTGGAACAGGGAGTGTGTTCCACATCTCATCAGACAGAGATGGTGGATGTGTGCCTTCTCCTCCATCTACCAAACTGCATGCCCAGCAGGGTGTCGAAGTAACTGTTATCTGGATCTCATTACCCTTCACTTCCTCTTGTGTTCACTGCCATGTCCTGTCACTAGGAGAACAGATGATCTGTCAATAACTACTCTGACTACTACACAGACAAGAACTGTGCTAGAGTCAAGTGAACAAGCACCTTCTTGGCATCAACTACTGCAGAGTCATTTTGGCCAAAGACTTGAAATAACATTACACAGAAATATTACCAAGTTAGGACTCGAGAACAGCCAGGGATAATCTGGGGGAGGTGAAGTTACAAGGGGAGCTTGAGTTCTCTGGCTCTCCTTCCCTTCCCCAGGACAGGAGGAGCCTGGGCTCCCCGGCTCCTGTTCATCAACACGCCACGATGCAGCTCTTTTGCTTAACTAGTAATGAGATTATTGTAATTCAGAATTTAACATGTGCTTTTGGTATTTACATAATTTAATTTCAGCATTCTATTATCCTACTTAAGGTCCTAATATTTTATAGTATCCATTACCAAATCATTTAAAACTAAGTACTCTATAATTCTGGTCCAAGATATACTCTTTAAGAAAAAGGTGTAACATTAGAGTAACTTTTTTTTAAAGGCACAGAATTGAAAGTGTGATCTTTTCAAGTAATCTACATGATCACACTGTTTTCTCTGTGATTTAGTCCAGGGTCTTTGAAGAGTGGTGTCCAGATGAGCAGTAGCATCCTAGTGAGCCTGTCAGAAACTACACCCTTAGGCCTCTGAGACAACTCACATAACTGGCCAGAGTTTGGGCAATACATAACACCTTAAAAGGAAACTGCAAAAGCCAAGTCTTCGGTACTATGAATTACACTGGTGGGAGACTAAGGCAGAGACAGAGACTTAAGTGCATACACTGTCAGGCCCCTTGGCTACAAGACCAACGCAGTTTCCTGCTCTGCAGTATTTGACCTGGGCCTGTTCTCATGGAAATGCAAATCAGACCTTTCATGTTATCAACACACACAGGCTGATTTGCTTCCAACTGTTTTTTTTCCCTTTGCAACAAAAATTTTAATGACTTTAGTTTGGAATAATCCAAAATCAGAATTTTAACTGTAACTCAAAAACACTTCTCCAACTTGAGTCTTGTTTGGGAAGAAATTACGGCTCAGAAATTACAGTACAGGCCTGGAGTGAGGATCCTACCAGATCACACTGGGATAATTCATTTATTGTCCTGTCTCATCTTTTCCATTAAAAGGGTAACTGGCTTATACAACTCAAATCTTTTAATAATTAGAAAATAACCCGTGTTTCAAGAGCTCTGGCTTGGCTAATGGGAGCTCTGGAAATGTATTTTGCTGCTAGATCTGCACCTCAGACTCACTTTTCAAAGGCAGCCAAATTTATTTTCTTTCTTTTTTTTTTCTTTTTTAAAAGTCCTTTCTGTACAAATCAGTGGATTTAAAGTATGGCAATTAGCTCTCCTCAGATCCTTTAAGTAAGGCAGATTTAAATTTGTAAGTTTTAGCCTAAACTCTGAAAATAAAGGTAACACACACGCAAAATTGTTCATTATTCAAAATAATTAAGAGTATAAATAATACTGTTTCAGAAATTATTGGAAGTAAATACATTGACATACCTAGAGCAACTGAAAGCAATCTCAACTTTACTGAATATTCTAAGTTACAATAATCAAAAATGGGTCCACTTGGTCTTTGTGAGGCAGTCTCTCTGTGGCATGTGTAGCAGCAAAGCCACCACTGCAGCTTCTAACACTATCAGAGCTGTCTAGCTGTCATCCAGAGCTCTGGTCTGATGTGCTGCACCTCTGAACTGTAACTGTGATGCACAGAAAACTCAGAATTGTGAACTGAAAAGAATGGGCACTTGTGGTTCTAAGGCACGCCTCCAGCTTTGCATTGCACATGTTCTAGACTAACTATATAATGCCGGCTCACTGCACGGCATTTGGCAACACCTCTGCAGATGCCACCAACACCTTCACCCTCAAAGTTTCCTGATATTGCCAAATGTCCCCGGGGTGTGTGGGGGGAATCAAATCCAGCTGAGAACAAATGGTCTGACCAGCTGTAGACTTTCATCGACACATTGGGTATTTTGGGGAAGGATTCCTTCCTGGCAAAGAGGAGTAAATTTAGTTCTAAAATTCCTATTCTAGTCATGGTAGAACTCATCTTACTCCTTTGTGTGAGTATGTGTGTGTGTGTGTGCTCTGGGGATTAAAGCAGGGCTGTGCACACACTAAGCATAGGCTCTACATGCTAAGCACATGCTCTGTCACTTCGATGTCTCCACAGTCCCTTGATCCTCATTCTCTGTGCACCCGCCATTCCTCATTTCTCCTTGAACACCTGATGCTATTTCCAATGTGATAAGGACGCCCTGCATATACCTCACCTGTCTTCTTGCCAATACTTTCTCTTCCATTCTTAAGGATACTTTTATACTTATTAGGTTTACACTGGAAAAGCTTCCATCCAGAGACCTGAGCAATACAGCACAGGAAAACAGGGATGATTTGATTGCCCCAGTGACTGCTCTGTTGTTGAACTAAGTCTCTCTCCTTTGCCAGGCAACCAGAGCCTAGGAGATTAGGACTTTGAAAGAATGACCTTTTACTGAATGAATTATTCCCTGTCTGAAGAAAACAAGTACAGGAAGCAGGAAAACAAAACTCCTGTAAATAATACAGTGTGACACTTTCCATGAAGCATTTGTTGCTCGCCTTCACTGGGTATTTGGTCCATCTCTGTAGGGACCTCTGTAGTTTCTGTCACAAGGGACTGTGAAGAGGCTTTAGGAAAACTGCTAACCAGGGGGCAGTGCTCCACTGTGCATTTCAACAGCTGCTGATCTTCTAGATTGAGCCTCCTGCTGAGTCAACATACACCATTAAGTCTTATTGGGTCCTACTCCACATATACTAATGGAATTACCTCCACAATATTATGCATGAATTGGCAGGCAGAGGCCAGTCCAGGTAGAGAGCATGCAACCCGTGGGCTGCAACCCCTTTGGCACACCTCTATCTTCAAACGTATTTGCATTACAATCATAACCGTAGGAAAATTAGTTAAGAAGTAGCAACGAAAACAATTTGTGGTTAGGGGTCACCACAACATTATTATTAAAGAGTCCCATCATTAGGAAGGTTGAAAACCACTGATATAGAGAAGTAAAGCACCCATATGTACAGTATCTTCACATAAATACACACGCGTCAGTGAGGACATTCCCTTTACTTATAAAGGCCCATACTGTAATTTCCTCTGGTGTCCAGGAAAAACAGCCTCAGTTAATCAAGCTAGGGATATTCATAACCCTAACATTAGAACCCTGCAGAGTTCCCCTTTGGGTTTGGCTACTAGAACAGACATGAATTCTTCACCTCAATTCAGTTAAGAACTCAGGACAAAACTACAGGATAAGACTCGGGGCCCTCTTTCAGGGGTACCGGGGATGAACAAGGTGCCTGGCCCCAAGCTCCATGTCCAAGAACTTCTTCATACTTTTGTGTGCATAGTTTTTGGGTCGTTCTTATTACAGCATACTTAATCATAAATCTGCTCAATAATGAAAGTTCTCTTTGCATACATTTTGATGTTTGTTTCAGTCTTGGCGAAGACATCAAAAATAATTTGAAAATTTGCAAGGTGTTCTTCATACCCCCACTGAACCGTATTAAAACCACTGGTTATATACTGATGAATATTTGGACAAAAGTCACAAGAGGGGGGAAAAGACACTTTTATATTCAAAGGGATGGTTTATAAGTGATAAGAACCAATGCCTAGGCCAGAGCTAATTTGTCTCCCGTTCCAATTCCATTCTAGTTGTGAGGAAAATTAAACTTCATCCAGTTACTGTAGGCTGGGGCTCGGTCTTGTTGGAAATGCTCTGAAATGGTTAGGCTACCATCCCTGGCCTCCTACATCCATGTCTGGGGTGTCCCACCCATATCCACTTCCTCTTTATTCTTCCAAGCTTGCTCTTAGGTGGGTGCCTGCCCTGCATTTCTGACTCCGGCTTCTGAGCCCGTCTAAGCTTGGGGTTTCCGGTTTGCCCTCCGCTTCCCGGGAACTTCTGTCTTCTGTCCTCAAGGCCTGTGCCCAGCTCTCAGCAGCCAGCCACACCTTCCGTATCCCTCTTCCCCCCACCTGCCAGTGGGTCGCGCAGGTCGCCCTCCACCAGGACCGGCCCCCGCCCGCCTATCGAGCCCAGCATCTCCCGCCCTGTCCCCGCCCCGCCTTCCGCACGGCCGCGGCGTCCGCACGCACCCACTCGTTGGCCCGATGGCCGAAAGTGTACAGAGCCACCTGGCTGGCCACGTCCACGATGCGATTGATGTAGGGGTCGTGGCGCCGCAGGGCTGCCAGGCTGATATCGTGCCCCTTCCCAGGCAGGCCACCTGCCGCCGCGGCCGCCATCTTCCCACCCACCCTCTTGCCCAGCCTTCAGGAAGCCCCTTCAATCGACCGCCGAGCGAGCGAGCGCAGCTGGGAGACTTTCCAGCACTTGGGGACCCGGCCTAGGCTTCGCCAATCAATGGCCGGGTCCTTTCGTGGAGGATCGTCGCCTTGGCAACAGGAAGCTCAGGCAACAGGAAGCTCAAGCCTGCTCACGGAAGCCGGTTTTAACACTATTTCTTCCTTCAGGAGCCTTTGAGCTGTGTGCATTTCCTTCCTGAATACGGCCAATACCTTTTGCATAGCTCATCTTTGGCTCTTCGATGACCAAACCCAATCAAACATAGTAACTCCAAAAGGAACTCGGAGAATTCTTAAAGGGTGCTCCCCAATATCCATGAGGGATTCTTTGAGTGCCTCAGAGGCCTACAAGGTTAAGGTTGTCCGTGACACTGCTGAGACTTGCGTGATGTGTGCACAAGGATCGGTGCACCGATAAAGAACCAAGGGAGGCCCCAAACTGTACCACTAGTCAGTGTATTCTTGCCGCTGTGCATTCCCTGTAAAACTTGACTGAGCAGCTGAAGCCAGGCGTCATTCTATCAAAGTACTAATTTTCTTAAAAATCAATCTTTGGGTATACTTTTAAAATTAATGTGGGGGAAAAATACAAAGTATGGATAAAGCAGAGCTACTGCGTGCCATATTTGCCTCGAGGAAAAATGTTCTGTGCTTGAGTTGGGTTGAATTTGTGGTTTTATCATTGTTTTTGCTGGGGTGGGAGGGCTTATTTCTCGAAGCAGAGTTTAAGGAAGGCTTCAACCTGTACTCTTCCTCCTTTGGGGTCTTCAGTGCTAGGATTACTGGGGTGTGCCACCACCCAGCCCAGGGGTTTTATTTTTACTTCCACAGAACATTAATTTAACGTGAAAGAAAGATGAACAAATTTATGGCTATTCAGATAGATACTGGACAGACTTTTTCAAAACTAAGATTTTCCTGAGAAACAAGGGATAGGTACTGTTGCCAATGATAATTTTTGAGATTAATTTTTTTTTTTTTAAAATGGGCCATGAGCTTGACAGTGTCTAAATACTTAAATCTCCTCAGATGAGACCTGTGGTGCTGTCAATGAGTACACTTTTTAAAGATTACAGTCTAATCTTTAAAATGGAAACTGTCAACATTTGAAAGATACAGCTTCCTGTGAATGATTATTCAGTGATTTTCAGATAATAAAAGGATGTCACAAATTCACATATAGGTAGGAGATCTATTCAAGGTCAAGGTAGACCAGAGGATTTCATTGTCCACAAAATATGAAAAGTTGATAGGATCTCAGATAACTAACCTTCAAGAAACTGTACTTTTTCAAGAAACTGTCAAATTTTGATATACCATCAACGAATATTTATTGTTACATGAACAGACCATTAAAGTTGCACCTCTTGTACAATTACATTGTCTTTGTGAGGCTAGGGCTTGTTCATGTATGCGATTTATTAAATCAGTTTACATTAAAACGGTAATATCAGTTGTCTCACACTTGGGATGCTGAGAATCTGGTAGATGCTGAGTAGTGCCTCATGAGTTCCAATATGGCACCGAATACACGGGTATCTGGGCAGCTTCAGGTCCTTACTCAACAGTGGAAGCCTGGAAATGCTGGTTCTCATAACAGTATCAGCATCAAGCCAACTCTGTGACAATAGGGAAGGCCAGCAAGGAAAAGGTGAATAATCTTCCTTCAGCCACACAGTCATTTTATCTGGGCTGCATTTAGAAGACATTGTCCACACTTGAGGTAAATCTTTGTGTATCAGTCAACCTGTGAAGCAAGGCAAGCAGGACAGTTCTTCAGGGGAGGCTCCCAACTCAGGTGATTGTAATTTGTGGCAAGTTGACATTAAAACCAACCATCACAGATATTGTTATAAATAAATACATAAATGGTTGGATAGTAGAGAATACACACACACACACACATTTTGTATTTAAAACTGTTGACTTTGACTCTTTAAAGTTGATTTCATGATCCACTGAAGGATATGACTTGTAGTTTGAGAAACAGAACAAAACCATGTTGTATAATTATTATTTGGTCCCCATAGCTTTCTATTCCCTTTAAGTGGCCACACAAAACTGACTAAACAGTGTCCCAGGCTATCCCACTAACTTACTGCTGGTTCCACTAAGTTCTGTGCTTCCGGTCACATGCTTCTAAAAATCAGTTTGTCTCTCAAATTCCTTCATCTCAGAGACAATGTCTATAACCTACTCATAAGGTCCCAACAATAAACCAAAGTTTTATTCCACCAAAGTTCACCTTGGGAAGCCAACGAGTTTATCTGTCTTACTGACAGAGCATGCATGGGTGGCCTTAAAGCAATAGCACTACAAAGTCTTTATCCAGTATTAGTGATGTCGGTGTGTCTTCAGTAACCTAGATGAATCTCTTTCTTTTTCCCAAGCCTATATGCTCCAGACCCTTCATGAGACTCTAAGGCCATATGGCATTAGGCAAAACTGCATACGAATGGCTGAACACTGGTAGGTGAAGATCCACTGACATACCATGTCCCTTCCTGGAGGAAATGTCAATAGTCCACAGGCCCAGCTGTGATGAACTCTCTTAAAAGCAGTGCCTGTTTTGCTTGGAGGATAGCCCTGTACATAGCATAAACAGTTTAATTTGCCATATGGGTAAAAGAATTTTCTGGTTAAGTTTTGAGCTCTTCCTCAACCCTCTGCTCTTGTTCACTTGGCACGAGCACACAGATCCTGCTGTGTGCCTGCCTCATCTACAGTGGGACATTGATTGCTTTCTCCTTAGTCTTCCCCCTCATCCCCACAGACCACTTTTCTCTTAGTTTTTCATCCTGTCCATGTTTAAAGAGAGATGAATAAATCCTACTTTCCAAAGAGCAGGCTGAGCTCATTAGAGAAGCCAGGCAACGCAGGAGCCATTATGGTACCAGAAATACTCATAAACACACCCAGGCCTCATTACCTGAGTGACCAGTTCAGCCACAGTCACAGGGTGCTTACAGAGAGTGCACGTCATGAAATCTGTTCATGTCTTCTCTGTGACTTGTTCAGCACCTTGCCTTTCCCAGGCCTGACCTCACACACAAGGAATAAAAGGAGCATCCTGCCACCTGCTTAGAGATTCACAGGTAAGTCTTAGTGAAGGATTTGTCCCCTGTCTTTGTCTGGTCTTATGAAGTAAGTGCCCACCTCTTGCTCAACCTTTCTGTAAGCGGCTGTTTTCACCCAAGTCCCTTGCACACTGCCATCTGTGTTCCTCGCCTTCTCCTTGAATGACCTTTTCCCAGAATTCTCCCTGACTGCCTTTCTCTGTGGAACTCTTTCTGCCTTTGAAACCTTCATGTACTCCATTGTCATTTTTCTTGTGGCACTTAACTTAGTAGGCCCTGAATTAGAGCTATTAATGTATTTATATGACATATATAATTATAATTCTAAAAAGGATAAAATATGAATTACCATGATAAAAGGGAATTATTACAGAAAGCCTAAAAACAGGTTTTGCATTCACACAAACCTAGCTTAGAGTTTCTTTGCAAGTAAGTACAGATTTCGTACAATAAAATTTTTATTTCATATGTGTTTGGTTTGCATGCCCTTTGTTGTCTTGGTACCACTTGGTCCAGTGCCTGGCGGATTATGGAAATTTAGAAAATGCAAACTGTATTGAACAAAACGTGAATTAGTTTACTTTCTCCATTACATATCTGTTTTTAAAAAGCCCTGAATTTACAGAATATTGAAATCCGAGCTGAGATAAAGGAACACACTGTAGAGAGTTCTGAGCTTTCAGAGTTAAATTATAAGGGATATAAGAAGAGATGGAAAATTTTTTTGTTTATTTTGCTTATAATTTTTCAAACCACTTTGAAGTCATAAAGATCAGAAACCACACTTGGCAAAGAAAACCACAAATGATGTTGAAATGACTTCAGCATCAGCAGGTTGCTCATCTCTCTGGCCCACAGAGCATCCTTTTTTTCTTTGTTTCTCCCAAATGCTCAAAGTCTGGTCTTCTAGGGTGGTACCAGGAGTCTGTGTATTTTCTGTTTGAGTAATCTGTGTCTTAGAATCAGTTCATCACAGCAAAGGACCACTTCAAACAAAGACCTTTTAATCCACATCTCTTCCACTTCCACAGGCTCCAGAGCTGTGGGATTCCACCCTGTCTCCATAGTCCTTAGCCTGATGCTGCAGGCGAACAGTGTGCCTTCAGGCTTCATGTTATCTTGTGATTGTCATTATGCCAGAACTTTGTTCTATGAGGTTAGATACTGCAATTCAAAATAAGTCTGTAGAATGATTAAGGATAGTGTCTGTGTCTGGGATATTTATACCAGTGTGATGACAAGACAAAATTGGCCACATAATTCAACAAGGTAATTGTAAATAGAAAATGCTAAAATTGTTTGAAAATATGACAATATAGAAAAAAAACTTGTCTTTGTAGAGTGTATGAATGTTTGTATACAAATATGGGCAGCCTTATTTCTCATAATAGTTTTAAAATACAAATACACAGTCTGCTTTCTCATTCTCTTTGTTCTGTTAATTGACCTCTAAGTTAGACTGTAGCAGGCTGGGTATTTTATTCCAAACAATGGTAGAAACTGACTCGTTAACGCTCTCCCCTAGTAGAGAAACAGCTTGAAGAACTGTGTTGTTGGTTGTTTTCAATGCGTGGCTCACTTATTTCCTAGGCAGCTGAGCACAGCAGAAAGCAACCCACTCCTGAAAGGAAAACAATAGTTCAGTCTCTTCTTTTTGTTTTAAAAATTGAGATTATAAAATAATTACATCGTTTCTCACCTTCCCTTTCCTCCCTCCAACCTCTCCCATGTACCTCCTTACCCTCTCTCAAAGTCATGGCTGCCTTTTCCTTAAGTGCTAATACACACACACACACACACACACACACACACACACACACACATCCTGTGTAGTCTGTATTATATTACTTGTATGTATGTGTT